GTAAGGAGAGACGACCAGAAGAAAGAAAGAAAGAAAGATATTGTATAATTGAGTGTGTGATCTAGTAGGGTGAAGGGTGTGTTTTGCAGTTTTTCACACAATGTTGACAAGAATTCGTCCATCTGTTCGTTCCCATGTGTCATCCTTGGCAAACGTGCTCACACTCGTACAATCGTACATACCTGTGGCCTTGCCCTTTGTAAATATTGCATAATAAGCTTAGGTAAACACCCTTCGTTGAAGTCTAAGGCCCTTCTTGAGATGACATAGCTCATTTTGAATGTGAAGCAATAACACTACATGTATGTGCCTGACAAGGCAACAATCTACATGTGTTCTGCGTCTAGTTTGGCTACCAGTCTGCTTATAATTTCGTTTCATGAATCGGGTTTGTGTTAACAGAAACCCGTTTGTTATTTTAATTATTTAAGCAACTAGATCTAGATCTATGCGTGTACAAACGTACATAATCAAAGCATTTTTACAAGTTTCCTTGACATAATTGTTCATGTTTGTTCCATGAATTAAAGAATGTGTCTAATGTATTGTGTTTGTTTCCATAATGGGGGCTGATGCATAAACTTACTTTGTGGGTGGTTGGCGCGTGCTCTGGTGTGGTTTGCTCCTTCCTTCTTATCGAACATATGTCGTCCTTGTCTCTCCTCCTTTTTTGAGTTTGTTACTCTCCTATTACTTGATTACTTGATCCTGGGAAAAACATCATAGCACTCCAGGCATTGCCATACGTGCTCCGCTCCCCGCTCCAGTATCCACCTCACAGTCAATCTGCTGATTGTTCCTGTGTTTATTTGATTAATAGCCCGTCTTTCCATCGCCTGTACCTTGCTGGTTCTGCCACTTACTCTGAAGACACCCAGTTCTTCAAGTTGTAAGATTGGCGCATAGTCATGCTCAATCTCCTCATCTTCAAGTGTGGTGGCAAGGGCCTTCACAATATCATTTTTGTCCATTTCAATGTCAGTATTGACAGGTGCATTGCTCTCATATACAATGTAGTAATGTCACACATCTACTCTTCAACTCTTGTATGACCTTATTGCCTGCAGCCAGACGAGTGGCAAGGATGTGAGACTTGCAAGGTGTTCTGAGGACGTCTGCTGCAAAATCGCACATTGCATCAACGTTGGGTTTTGTTGCCCAAATGCTATGTGAAGTCAATCTTTCTATACGGCTATGAATGCTTGACAGATACCAAAGATAGTGATAATAATTTGGAAGCTTCAGAACAGTAGTTTCATAGGTTTCCTTTTGGGAATTTCATGGAAGTAAAAGAAACCATAAGAAACCATACTGGGAAAAAACTAGGGTTGAACAATTAGGAAGAGACCAAAACAGTTTCTAGGACACTTGTTTCGACATAAAGCTTCGATCATCTTGTTCCTTCTGGGACAAATATAAGTCAATTCAACCAAGGGTAGACTCAAAGAAACTCATTTGAAAAACCTGAACAGATGGGTAATTGGAAAAAAACCAAGATAATATAGTTTAATGAAAAAATGTTTCTACTATACCCTTTGTTGCAACATACCTGGTACACATTTTGTCACCCATACTTTGGTCTACTCTTTCAAGAAAACCGAAAGAAAGACCTCGGTTTGAAAAACGAATGGCATGTTACACATTATGACCAACGGGTCAAAGCGTGTTATTTTGGTGTTTCAACAAGGTTGTTTTTCTGTCCTACATTCCTCGTCATTTTGTGAACCTCGAGGTCGAGAGTGGTTGTGGGG